CTGGGGGCTGTACCCAGCCCGGCTGCGGAAGAGTTAAGCTCTGCCGCTCCTCGCCCGGGTCTCAGGGGCCTCCCACTCGCCCGGCGTGGAGTATGAATAGCTGCGCTCCCCTCCGCTCCCAGCCACTCGCTTCCCTCCCTGCCTTCCACCTCCTCCAGAGCCCCCGGCATCCTCCTCCGGCATCCTCCGGCAGCACCGGCACCGGAGCCCCCGGCATCCTCCGGCAGCACCCATGCTGAGCACGGAAAGTTTGGCTGGGGCGAGAGCCCTGGGCAAGGAGTCGTTGCAGATGTGGGACCTCAACAAGCGGCTGGAGGCCTACCTGGCCCGCGTGAAGTTCTTGGAGGAGGAGAACGAGGTGCTGCGAGCCGAAATCCAGAGCGCCAAGGGCAGCCCCGCCGGCGACTCGTGGCGGGCCAAGTACGAGGAGGAGCTGCGAGCCCTGCGGGATGCGCTGGATCACGCCTTCAGGGAGAAGTGCACGGCCGAGCTGGCCAGGGACAACCTCTACGAGGAGGTCCAGCAGGTGAAAAGCAGGTGCCAGAAGGAGCAGGCAGCCCGAGAAGAAGCCAAGAAGCAGTTGTCCTTGAGCAGGAAGGAGCTGGAGGAGGAGAGGAGAGCGCAGATCTGGCTGAAGGAGAGAGCCGTGCAGCTGGAGAAGGAGGTGGAAGCCTTGCTGGAGGTGCACGAGGAGGAGAAAGCGGGGCTGGACCAGGAGATCGCCAGCTTCTCGCAGAGCCTGGAGAGCTTCCGCTGCGCGCCGGTGGCTTTCCAGCCGGTGGAGGTGGAGGACTACTCCAAGAGGCTCTCGGAGATATGGAAAGGGGCGGTGGAGACCTACAAGACGGAGGTGTCGCAGCTGGAGGGTTCCCTCTGCCAGGCCAAGGAGAACCTCTGGAAGGCGGTGGAGGACAACCAGCAGAGCCAACTGCAGCTGCAGCACCTGGAGAAGGACCTGGCGGGGCTCAAAGCGCGGAAGGAGATGCTGGAGGAGAACCTGGCCCGGCAGTGGCAGGAGCAGCGCGGGGAGGCAGAGAAGTTCCAGGTGGGTGAAGGCGGTGGGGAGGGGGAGAGAGGTGCTGGGGGTGCCGGGGGG